GAACATCAATTTCTTCTACTAATAACGTGTTGTGTTTATAAGTAAATTGATCTATCACCATTATTATATTACGATGATACCATCTCAAACGTTTGTCGTGAGAAATTATCTAACCAATTGATCATTTTCCATCTTTAACAAAAAAAAAATTGATCATTTTCCATCCATCCTCACAAATTTAGAATAGAGTTCCGACGATAATTAACTTTTATTGTAAGATTAGTCAACTCGAAATCCAAATTTAAAATACACATTACATAGAAAACTTTTGGTTTCGAAGTATGAATATGATCGCTCTTTGGAGTATTTGAAGCTTTTGGTTTTGGTCGGCTACGTGAAGTCCACGACTTACAGTCACCACCGACTCAGCAGCAACACGTGGTTCCCTCAAACACCACTCCATATCTTTCTTCAAGACTTTTATACTCACTTCTCACAAAAAAAAACAAAAACAAAATCTACTTTTGTTGAGGAAAAATAAACAAATGTGTGCGACATGTTAACGAACTACGATCTGCTTATCGATCAGCCACACTGGTGTGTTGATAAGTCAACCATATTATCTGTCCCTTAAGGAAAACCATATGTTATATTGTAAAATTGACTTGGCGTATATGGATAAAAAACATTACTAGTTTTCTTATATGCCCATAAAATAATTAGAAAAATCCATCCAACGTGTTAATCAGCTGGCAAAAAAAATGGATTAGGATAAAACTTCGTCATCAATATAGCAATATTAAAAACACAAATGACTTTTCAGCATATCGAACATAAAATAATCTCAACTCGAAAACCGTTATAAAACGAATACGAAATGGCCAAGTTAAGACAACATTTACAAACGGGGAACAAAACAACCCAACCGTATTTTATTTTCATTTCGTTCTCTTGTTTGGTTCGTTTTTCCGGTAAAAACGTGTTGTAGTCAACAAACACAATATAAAGTCTCTGCCCAACCGATGGCTCAAGTTCTATCTCCACCGGTACCACTGCTGGCTATAGCCAGTCCAAATCCGCTGCAATTCATGGCCGGTCTTCTCGGTCGAATCGTTACTAAAAATACGAATAAAGAGATTGGTCCAGAGAGCCCGAGGAGTCCGCAGACCCCTCAAGGCTCTGTTCTCATGGACAAGTACGAGCTAGGAAAGCTTCTTGGCCACGGAAGCTTTGCTAAGGTTTATTTAGCACGGAACATAAATTCCGGCGAAAACGTTGCCATCAAAGTCATTGACAAGGAGAAGATCGTGAAAAGCGGATTAGCCGGTCATATAAAACGGGAGATCTCAATCCTCCGCCGTGTCCGCCACCCTTACATTGTTCACCTCCTCGAGGTCATGGCTACAAAGACAAAGATTTACATCGTGATGGAGTATGTAAGAGGCGGGGAGCTTTACAATATGGTGGCTCAAGGCCGGCTACGTGAAGGGACCGCCCGGAGATATTTCCAGCAATTGATCTCATCCGTGGCTTTCTGCCACAGCCGCGGTGTTTACCATCGTGATCTCAAGCTTGAGAATCTGCTTTTGGACGACCAAGGGAACCTTAAAGTCTCTGACTTTGGGCTCAGCGTCGTCTCGGAACAGCTCAGGCAAGATGGAATCTGTCAAACGTTTTGCGGGACGCCGGCTTATCTGGCGCCAGAGGTTTTGACAAGGAGAGGTTATGACGCTGCGAAGGCCGATATTTGGTCTTGTGGAGTGATCTTGTTTGTGTTGATGGCCGGTTATCTTCCTTTTGATGATAAGAACATAATGGTTATGTATACAAAGATATACAAAGGGCAGTTTCGGTGTCCTAAATGGTTTTCTCCTGAGCTTACAAGGCTGTTGACCCGGATGCTAGACACGAATCCAAATACCCGAATCACGATACCAGAGATCATGAAGCATAGATGGTTCAAAAAAGGGTTTAAACATGTCAAATTCTATATCGAAGACGATAAGTTATGTAGGGAGGATGACAATGATGAAGACGATTCTTCATCATTGTCATCAGGCCGTTCATCAACTGCTTCAGAGGGAGACGCAGATTTTGAGATTAAACGAGTTGAGTCAATGCCAAGACCCGCGAGTCTAAACGCATTTGACATCATATCGTTCTCTTCCGGATTTGATCTTTCGGGTTTGTTTGAAGAGGGAGGAGAAGGAGCAAGGTTTGTATCTGCTGCTCCTGTGACAAAGATCATATCGAAACTCGAAGAGATTGCGAAAATGGTGAGCTTTACGTTGAGGAAGAAGGATTGGAGCGTGAGGCTAGAAGGTTGTAGAGAAGGTGCTAAAGGACCATTGACTATTAAGGTTGAGATCTTTGAGCTCACGTCGTCTCTTGTGGTGGTTGAAGTGAAGAAGAAAGGAGGGAATATAGAAGAGTATGAAGAGTTTTGCAACAAGGAACTTAGACCACAGCTAGAGAAACTGATGCATTACCAAGCAGATGAAGTTGAAGAAAAAATATGTTTGCCACCTGAAATTGAATAGCGACCCAAGTTAAAAAAAAACAGGAAGGTCGAGAGAAGACCTAACAAGAGAAGGTATTACTACTATAGAACCACTATTAACATTCTTTGTTACTATACCATTTAATTTTAATTGTTCTGCGATGATGGTTGTATATAAATCATGAAAGTGAGAGTTGTAATGGGAGTGATAGGAAGATCAGAGAGAAGAAAACAGGTAAAAAGAAAATTAAGAGTGAGATCCTAAGGCAGTTAGACGGTTTTTGCTGGCGATTATAAGGCTAGTTTTTCGTTGATTGCTGATATAAATGTGTTGTAAATGTATCTCTAAAGTAGAGACGATCTTAATGGAAATTCTCTCGGCCTTCCGCTTAAAAACTGTCTTGTTCATCCTAAGATATCTCATTTCTATGCTTCAACAGATAGACTAAAACTATGATAAACTGAAATGTGTAAAATGTTACCTGCAGACTTTGTTGTCTTGTAGTTTTGATGACCTTTTTATCTGTTGAAGCACCTGAATTAAAGAAGTTAATTTGAAAGAAACCTCAGAATAGTGTGAACATCAGATTTCACTAAGTGATGATCTTTGTTTGAATTGGGTTTATAAATAGATAGAAATATGAACAGAGCATTTACTGGGAACAACAGTTCTTATTAGCTATAGGTAGGCAAGTACTCACAGATTTGGAAGTCTCGTTACACATGTAAATAATTATGAGGGATTACGGGTTAAGGTTTCTAAGGCTCACAAAAGAAACCGCGCTTATCTTACGCCTTTGAAGTTGTAATCCAGCTGTAATGATTATGATCCCAAGGGGTCAGATCTCGGGAAGCTCCAAACTGTTAAGTATTGGATTGACAAGAAGTCCGAGCAACCAGTTCCTGCACAAGATATAGTGAACACCAAATATGGATTAGCATTATCGCCTTATTGTGTTTCTTTATATCCCAGGGAAAACTTGAGATGCTTACTTCAGAATAGCGAATATAATCTCTGTGTATATAAGAAGTCTTGACTATAGTTTCCCACTTGGTAACACTTGCAGAGTTTTCTTCAAGATCCTTTTTTCGGGGATGAAACAGATAACCTCGCGAAGGGATCTTTGAGCTTACTGAAGGCAGATTACGGAAAAGCCAAGAATCAGAAGGCTTTTTGGGCGGCGGTGGAGTGAGGGGAGACAAATCACATCCACTGTTGTTCTTTTTCGACTCATCTCCCTCCATCATCTTGATTCCACTGTTAGTACAAAGAGCTTCTACAGCCTGATGCTCGAGAATGGCTTTCGGTTTGTTTCCCGCCATTTCTTGTTCCTCTGGAACTGTTTCTACAATTCGTGGCAAGATCTTGACATCTGAATTACCCTGATCATTTCTGTTCTTTGGACAATTCTCTGTGTCTATATATAATGTCTTCTCCATGACAGAGCTTGTAGAACAGTCAGGTCTTGTGCTCTTTGGATAGAGTAAATCCTGAGACTTGCTTATGGTTCTGATATGCTTGTTTAGCCTGTTAGCTCTCATAATCTCTGCTTCTTTGCGAGTCCCGGGGAAACCCAAAGGGTGAAGAGGGGAACCGTTTCCTACACTTCGATACGGTGACATACAACCAGCTTGTCTGTAAGGAGATGATGGCATACTTGCAGTACTAAGGTTTGATTCAAGTTGTTCAGATCCAAAGTTAAACTTCTTCCCAACACTTGGGTGTACTGGAGATTGAGGTCTACTTCCCAACTTCTGCTTATAAATTGAATCAAGAGCGAGCTGAAAACATACAAGATTTTATCGATATTCAGTGAGCGTCTGATCAGATAAAAGAAGTGAAATAAGGAAAGGGAGGGGTTGAGAAGAAACCTTTTTCACAGATTGGAACCGAGATTTGAGTTGTGCGACCTTGCTTGACTTGGCTTGGTCATGGCTTGAGGTTTTTAGGGAGTAAGGTTTCTCTTTAAGACCATTCACTGAGGTCAACATACCAAGTGAGTTTTTAAAGCACAATTGTGGTGACATCATCCCACATCCTCTCTTAGAAAGATACTCAGAAACTTCATCATCTTCATCTTCCTCACTACTGTCTTCTTCATATATGCCCTGATGATAATAAGGTGGAGTGGAAACAGACTCATACCTCTTAGGCGTTGCACGACTCTCGGCTGGTACTATATCTCTAATCTGTCTCATTGTTTCAGACATGAGAGGCAATGGTTGCCGCTTCAATGGATATTGAGGTTGTTGCTCCACAGTCATGGATTTCGCGGCAGGTAAGAAACGATTCAACATGAAATCCTGAGATTGAGGATCCTTGGATTGGACTGGCAGTTTTTTTGCCTCAACAACACCACTTATGCTATCTTTTAGAGACAATGTATCAAGAGCATCAGAAAAGACATCATCATCTTCACTCTCTGCTTCTTCTTCTTGTACCTGCTTACCTTTTGAACTCTGTAGGTTTCCATCAATGGCTTTCTCCAATGGACATTTGAAAGGAACAGAAGCAGATTCCGGAACTTGATCTAATCCCATGTCTTGGACAAGAACTGGAACAGAAAGAGATTCACTTGTCTTGGAGTCATCATCAGTAAGCTTCTTTGCCATGTTTGTACGCACAGAGACCGCTGTTTTCTTCATCCGCCGAGTCGAAATAAGTGGTGCATCCAAGTCAAGTTTCTTCTCTGCCATATAACTGATGGAAAAATGGTGCACTAGAACCAAAACCAAAGCCGTTAGACAAAGCTCAGAGAGAGATCAATGGAGCCAATTGTTGAGTTACACCAAACTTAATGATGTTCACAGTTCTCCAAAACAGATCTGAAAACAATAAATAGTCAATTAGAGCAACCTAGATTCCATTAGTATAATAATAAGCTAATTGCTTAATTAATTACATTTATATACACTGACACACATGAACCAAGCAACAAATCTGAAGAAGTTGTAACAAACAAACAAAAAGAAACGACTTGTGCATAGACTTTACTAAAAACTTAATTTATAATATAAACTTCCAAACAAATCATTGGAACCCCAGCAAATTGAAGCAATGTAGGAAATAACAATGCATGATTGAATCTCTGGCTATGAAGCAACGAGAGATTTCAACACTATTTCTTAACTTGGTACTTACCAGAATTCCCATACAATAATCAACAAAATGAAAGTCGGAGAATCATGGAATCGCCTAACCAGAGGAGATTGAAGGAGAAAGCTTATGAGTCGCGTTAAATCGTTCTCTGCAAC